GCAGTCGGAGGGTCGGCGCCGAGGGAGGGGGCGCAGTCGGAGGGTCGGCGCCGAGGGAGGGGGCGCAGTCGGAGGGTCGGCGCCAAAAGAGCGTGACATGCACATGTGTCTATGCACGTGTCCACATGTGCATGAGTGTATGCGTGTCCATGTGTGCATGTGAATGTGTGTGCATGTGCAGGTGTACACATATGTGTGTCTTCAAGTGTTTGTGAGCATGTATGCATGAAAGTCTCTGTGTGTGTGTCTGTGTGTGCGTTTGCACGCGCGTATATTTGTGTGTACGTGTACGCATATGTGTGTGTGAAAGTCTCTGTGTGTGTGTGCGTATGTTTGTGTGAAAGTCTGTGTGTGTGTGCGTCTGTTTGTGTAAAAGTCTGTGTGTGTGTGTGTGTGTGAAAGTCTGTGTGTGCGCGTATGTTTGTGTGAAAGTCTGTGTGTGTGTGCGTATGTTTGTGTAAAAGTCTGTGTGTGTGTGCTTATGTTTGTGTAAAAGTCTGTGTGTGTGTGTGAAAGTCTGTGTGTGTGCGTAAGTTTGTGTAAAAGTCTGTGTGTGTGTGTGTGTGAGAGAGAGAGAGAGAAAGTCTGTGGGTGTAGGTGTGGGTGTGTGTGTGTGTTTGTGTATATGCATGAACGTGTGTGTGTGTCTGTATGTGTAGAGTGGGTGTTTATAACGGGGTTGGGGCGGGGGAGAAGGGTGTCAGATGTTTCGTTACAGATTGGGGTTCATCATCCTTACCTGTCACTAGGCTCGATCTATCTGTAACAACTGGTCATTTCCCGCCAGCAGAGAAACGGTGTCACTGTTTCCTGCCAACCTGGCTCTAAAGGGCAGGTAGATTCGGGGAAATATCACCGACATTTCCCAGTCGTTAACATCCGAGAACTCTCGGTGGACCGTGCTGCTGATTCCCAGGGGGGAAGAGTAATTTTTTGGCTGTGAGCGCTTTGCAATAGGCTGCGATGGGGACCACTGCAGGAGACAACTGGAGAGATTCCCTCAGAGGGTGAGGTCCTTGGGATCTGGGGGAGCAACGTGAAGGAGTGGGGTGGGGAGCACAGACGGTCATGGGCGTAGTGACCCTCACTCCAACCCTCCTCACCTGACAACGGCCAAGCCGTTCCTGATTTGGCCCTTCATCAGCTCGTCGACCAACTGTAGCACGCAGCCCACAGCTGTACAGCACGCCTCGTACGTTTGCTGCAAATCAGAATCTGTGGTCAGGACACACTGACAGCGCGGGATCCCGCTCTACAGCATCCCAAACCCCTTCCCGTTCACTCCCGCTCTACACCGTCCCAATGGAC